TATTGAAAAGTTAAATTCTTATTTTCTTCAGAATCAAGTTTTTGGTTCTATTGCAAAGTAAGAAAATATAAGTGAAAATTATAATTAAATCCATTGTTATACTGTTGCATATAAACAGTTGGGATCAGTAAGCAAACTAAATTTTCACCTAAGTTATTATCAATTAAAATTTAATATCACTAGAAAAAGGCTTTGTCATATTGTTATGTAATTTTATAAACTAGAGTATCCACAAGTGGGTCACATTGTTGGGCTAGAGCCACCTGCAGTCGAGAAAAGTAAAGGGTAGCCTCTCACCAAATGTCGGTGAATAGTAGTGTAAATACAATATTCCAACATCCCGAATTTAGAATCTGATGTCTTTTACATCATCGTCGGCCTCACCAACACCTCCAATTTATAAACCAGCTCGATGATCAATACAAAACCTCCTTAGTCATAATAGTCTTAAGTTTTTGCACTATGTTGGCTCATGTAATTCTTAAGAAGGATTAGGATGACTTTTATGAACATATTTTAATTTGAAGGGTAATGAGTTGTGTTTTAGTGGATGATTTTACTCAACAAATCATAGAAAGTGCAAATGTCCTCTGAAATGTTCAAGATCTTGTAGGGATGTCTAGAACATGGTTCTAAACAACCCTAGAATTTCTTGAGTCATTCCAAGTTTATTCGGTCTTTCTATATTGTTGAGTTGATTAATTTCTTTGGAATAAGAAGTGTTGAATGGATGTTGATGTTCCATATTGTGTTTTGTGTATCTTCACTTCTTATGTTCTAATTATCCCAAGGGTAGTCAATCTACACTTTCATAATGAGAGTTATATAAGTTGGATCGACAAGGGTAAATTTGAAAATATTAGGAGGTTTTACAATTTTACCCCTAAGTTATGCTTGTGCATGTATTACCTTATGGTATTTCATCATTTATACTTCTCTTGAGAAAACTCATATTGACCCCTAATGACCTTTAAGTTAGGCTTAGCTTACTACAGAGTTCTTAGGGTTTTAGGGGTAAACTTGTAGTTTTACTCTTTTTTTTAATACATTTGCTCTTTTTAAAAAGATTATGGAATTCTCTCCAACTAATAATGGAGTTTAAATTAATGAATTGAGGAACTCCCAATCCATAGCCCCCTTTTACCATTTAATCATTCAAACTTTTACATCTTCCTACTCCAAACAATTCACATATTTGCATTTTTATCCTTTTAGCAAATTCCAATGAGTTGATTATTACCTTAGCCATCCCTTAATATTTCAAACACTTTAGCAAACTCATCATTATAGATTTCAACCTCTTTCCCCTCTGATTTACCCTAAAATTTGTTTAATTAGGGGTTAAAGTGTACGTTCTGTATTTGCAAATATACCCCTAGGTTGGATACCTTATAACTCTTTTACCATTATTTCAATTGCTATGAAATTTCACTGGCCACTTTTCCATGGGCAAATGAATACATTAAAAGTGAATTTGTATTTTTCTTATGTTCCATTACTTTTTCTGTAATTATTTAATCAATAATTATGAAATCATAGGAAAAAAAACATTTAGATATTTAAAATACACTTTTTGCCTTTTAAAATTTTATGGGGACATCCTAAAATCACTATTCTTAATCAAAGCAAATTTTGTAATATTTTGAATTATATTTAAATTTTTATAATTTTTTATTATTTTTTAATAGAAAAAAATTTAGAAAATACATTATTTAAATTTTAAATTTCATTTTTATCTTTTTAGTGCCCTTGATCTTGTTTAACTTACAAAATTTTATCTCATATTTATTTTATTTTATTTTTTTTTTTATAATTATTTTAATAGAACAATGATAAATACCACAGAAAGTTAGGACTTTTAAAGTAGAGGAGTGCTCTGATCTTGGGAAAATCAAAAGATATTCTAATCACATGAGAAACAAGCATCTAAAATTTCATGTCATGGTGATTAATATTTAATTTTTTATGATTAAAATTCTCTCAGGTGTATTTAATTAATTAAAATTAAATATAATACGACTATTTTTTATTTGTTTTCATTAAATTCTCCTCTATTTACTGAGTTCAAACTATTTATTGAGTTCAAAGGTATTTTTATTTTATTTTTATGATTTTCTTACACCAAGTTATGATTTGTTAAAGTTTTATTTAGTTTTTGTATTTTTTTAATTCAAAAAATCCATATTTATCTACTTAACCATCTCGACGCTGACTGGATCCTCGGCATCTCTGAAAGCCCATGCATTGCTCTACTTTTGTTTGCACTTCCATGTGTCTGCTGACTCGATCCGTAATTACACAATTATTTAAGTTCCCAAAATATCACAAAAACTTGACCCAATTTATATTTAACGGTTAGTGTGCAAAATGTATATGATATAAAGTTTAGAATTTGATTTAAAGTTACACACTAGGAGTTCTACGCAAACATACGTATCGTACAAGTAATATAATGGAGTCCTGATTATTGAACCCACATAAAAGCTGTAACTCTTTATAATGACTTAATAAAACTCCTACTTAAAATAGTAGATAATTATCTAGGAATAAAGTCGAAATTTTATGTGTAAAATAAAGTAATACAAATAAGTTCAGTTTAGAAATTAAAAGAAAAAATTTTGTGTGTTTCTAAAACAGCTAAGTGTAGAAGAGTTCAAATTATGTGAAGAGTCTTCCTCTATACAATGAGTTTATAATCAGTGTAGGAATCAAATGTCTATAAATTTAAATGAGAGTTTATAATCAGTGTAGGAATCAAATGTCTATAAGTTTAAATGAAGTTTTGTGACAAATGTGAGCATACATATTCTTTACCCTCTTCTGAGTGCATAAACAACATTAGCTAACCTAAAGTTAAGTTCCAAAATCTCTCAGGTTATGTTGGGTAAGTTCTAGTCTCTCACGTCCAGATTACCCACTATAGGACTAACTGATCATAAGGTTTCAAAGTCTAGATCAAATTGGTAAAAAATTAGTCTGTCACTCTAGAAATATCAATTTATGCCCATCAAATCTTATCTCCCTATCTATTTGCACTACCTAATCTGTTACATTCTCACCCACCAAATTAATGTGATTCATACTAGTTGAGGAACACATATCCCTCCTGGGACATTATAGATTCACAACAAGTTTTAACATATCAATTGACTACATCAAATAAGTAAATGAAGCATGAAGTAACAAATTATCACAAGTATGAAATAGAAGAAGTTATAATCAATTCTAATCCCACACATAATTAATTCTCATTATAAGGAAAGAGATAAGAAAACTACTCATAATTCATGGGGATAACATAACAAAACATAATTTATATTAAAACTTAAGTTACAAAACAAACTTAAGCAAAATACATAATACTTATCTCGAACTCTTCCTCAAACAAATCTTTTGAAGTTTCCTTGATGAATATTCAACTCTCCTTACAAGTTTACTCAAATACAAAAACAAAGACACCCACACACACACCAAACCCTCTTATCCCCAACAACCCTCTACAACCTCTTTTATCGACCAACAAATTGCCTTTAAATAAAGCTCTTAAAATCACCAAGAATTACTTCAAGTACCTCTTTAAAATTCGTCCAAATTCATTGAAAATAAGAGAAAACAATTATGTTTCAATCCACAGGTTTCTACTCTTACTTCCTATTCTGCTATATTGAACTCATTCTTCAAAAATTGGACTGCTTTCCTTCAAATGGCCCATTATTGGATTAAATATTAATAATTTGTTACTAAGAGGTCGTTTGAGATCAGTTTAAATTTTTTTTTATTTCTATTTTAATTTGAAACAAAACATTTTTGACATATTTTGATCAAGATATAATTATTTTTAAATACACTCAAAACACCTAAACATTATTTTGAGAGTTTTCATTAACATATTAATTTATTTTAAATACATAAAATAAAAACATGTAAAAACATATTAAATAAATATATTTTTAAAAACAAAAGAGAAAATAAAAGATAAATTGATCCCAATCTGGCTCTAAAATTACAATGAAACCTAAGCCTAACATATAGTTGCAATTAACTGGATAACATATAGCCAAGTAACCAGATCAACCAACCCCCTCCATATTCAATATGAAGACATTATCAAATAAAAATGCACATATCTTCTATGAAATACTGCTCCAATAAGTAGTACATTCTGACAACCTAGGTAGCACCCAGTCCCCGGGACTTCGGCCGCCGGACAGCCGTCAATGGGCTAGTCATACCCCGTGAATCCTTCCCCAATCCAGAACCTGGAATGAAACCCATTTTCACCATCATCCTTGATCCAAACCCCTTGGTGTGTCTCTCAAATGCACCAATTTCCCCAAACTTCTCCACCCTCACTTCTTCCTCCGTCATTTCAACACCTAAGCCCAGTGATTTCGGTCTTTTTATAGCTTCAATTGGATTTACCATTCCCTGGCCACTCTTGCCTAAGCCACCGCCTTCAATAAACCCCATTTTCGCTAACATTTTGGATCCGAAACCCTTGGTGTGTACCTCAAATGCGCCGAGCGTTGAAGAACTGGTTTCAGCAACTTCTACCAATGGCTTACTTTCAGTTGAATCCATGGCGGAATCAACCTGCATGATTCCACATGAAACAAATGATACAGGTTTTTCAGCATAACTCTGTCTTGCAGTTTGTTTCTTCTTGCAGCTGATATTGTTGCCCTTTGCCAGCTTACTAGGTGCACTATTATGAGACTTCGATTTTGGCTTAGATCCTTGAGTGGTACTAAATCGACTATGTTCTTTAGTTTTATCTTTGGGCATTTTGCCAGAACAAACAGCAAAATCTTCATCCTCAATGCCAACTTGAAGAAGCTAAAAATCAAAGTTAAGAAAATTGCTTTTGATATTCAAAGATATTGTTAGTACTAATGTACATGAGAGCAGAAAGTTGGGCCATGAATATTAAATGGAAGATGGAATACCTTATCCAAGCGATCCTTATCTTTCGAAGATGGCAAGCATGTTCCCTCGGTCCTCGTCACTGTCACAAATCTGTTAAGGTGGCCATAAGTAAGAAAAGAAAGACCAACTTTCATTTTCCAAGAAGTTCGAATAATTAAAAAAGTCCATTAATGGAATTAGTGTAAGATGAGCGCACCCTTCCACCCACAACTCAGAAAGACAATGCTGTTATTTCATGTAGTAAACTTTTTAAATTTACAATTAATAAAAAATTCCCATTATAAACCGACATTATAAGGAAGAACTAAATAAAGCACACAGGAACTCAACTAACATGCACTAAAGTGTATTTAATGTGTTCGAGAACATAAAAGGAGAAAGAAAAGATGATAGAATCCCAAAAATGCAAACAAACTGTACAGAAATTCAGTCTCAACTTTCTCGACAGCTACAATGAGAGGGGAGATGGAAACTGTTTCGTGTAGCACAAAAACTGTTCCTATATGGTTATATAAAAGAACCATATAGAAAGTTGCCAAATTTCAGCTAATGATTATTTACATGTCAAGAAAGCTGTATGCATTTGTGCTACAATTATAAAGTTTTAGTTAAAGTTACAAAAGTGAGGCAAACTATGATTCAAAGGTAAGTAATTGTGTATAATAAAAATTACAAGTAGCTTTGGTGGGCTTTCAAGAAACCGATGTTGGGAATCGTAACTGTGCCATTTGATGTTATTTTCGCTATTGTTGACTGCCCTTAAACGATTAAATATTGATTTATTCAACCCATCTATTTTGGCTAGTTTGAGCTTGTCCAGGGAAGGCTAAATTTATTGAAGCATATTGAAGTTTAGAAGCCTTTTACATCAAATCAGTTACTCTTACAGGAAAAAAATGACTTGAAAAATCTGTAATAATGATGTTTTCAAATTCTAATGTCACACTATTAAAATGTTGTAAGAAAAAACTTTATTTGTTCAACCAATCTTGAATGACAATCATTTTGTTTTTTTGCTAAAAGTTAGTTTTTTTATACTCCAATTTTTAGATTTAAAATTTCCAAATGAGATGGAAAACATCACATCCAAGAAATTAAAATTTAAAAACCCTTAGATGATATTTTTTCAGTCTATTTTTAGATTTTTAATTACAAAAAAAAAAGGAATAACATGTTGAATTGGAGCATTCCATGGTCTCGCATCAACATTTTCTGTCTCCTCAACACTACTTTATAATATAGTATATAGCTATATATATTGCAAAAGAACCAAAAGTATTATTTCATTTTTTTTTATTTTATCCGTCAGTATGTCTCTCCTCTTCTTAACAAATTATGAAATTGGTTCTTCAAAATATATAAAATAGCTTCACAAATCTATTTGAAATATGACAACCCATAATTTTAAATTTAAATACAAAGAATTTATGTCATACTTTAGATATTAAAAATCAAAGACGTCAACAAATGAAAAGAAAAGCTTTGAAATTACAGTTATAATGATATCTTAAAATTCGAGTATACCATGTGTAAAAGTGATTACAAAAAAAGTTTTTTAGTTCCACCTTATTTAAATGACCATTATTCATTGGCTCCATTTTGAATTTGGATGTCCAAAAATGATTTTAGAAGACAAATTAGTGGAAAGAAGAAGGACAAAAGACAAACCCATTACATGGAAACATAAAAATAAACAGGAAGGAAGAAGGATAAACCAAATGTAATATCAAATGTATTAACGATATTAACCGCCCTCTATGCAACAAGATTGCAAAATACCCAGGTTAGGCACTCTCCTGAGCAATGAAGCCCTAATAAACTTCACATATTTTATTAGAGGAATATTTTTGGAGTGCATAATATGATATTCATAACAATAATATCTTAAAATATAGTAGGCATAAATAATAAATTTTCATAAGAGTATGAGTGATGAAGAAGGTCTTAAAATATAGTAGGCATAAATAATAAATTTTCAAGTAATGTGATTCAAAATGGCAAAATGACAATGTGTTTCCAAATAAATCATTTAAAGAAAGTGCCCACAAAACCCAAAAATTGCGCTTCAAGTTTAAACTAGCAAACAAAAATCTAAGTTAAACAACTTCTATAGCTTAAGATTAGTCTAATTTTTACTAGTATCTATTTCATCTTCTTCATCACTATTCTTAAGAGTATGAGTGATGAAGAAGACGAATAGATACTAGTTAAGGTACTCGATCATATAAAGTTTTGAAAGGTATATGAATCGTAAACTCAAGTTAAAGCACCCTTCAAAACTTTATGATCGAGTACCATTCTTTAAAGTTTATTAAAACATGAAAATTGTCAATCATGTGTGGTACACATGCATATACCCTTCAAAATGTGTACCACATGATTGACAATTTGCAAAATATTTTCGACAAAAAACATACATACTGGTATAATTTAATACCTTCAGCAAAATTGAAGGTTTTACTAACAAAATTTATCAGGAAATAACCGTATTACCTCTTCTTGCCTGAACCTTGGCAGCCACTCCGTAATGCATAAATTGATGCTAATCGTTGAACCTACAGAAAACCAAACATATACATAACTTTGAGAAAAAATAAGATGCAAACTGATTTACAGAATGGATAGATTGTCCAAAATTAAAACAAAAGAAGCAGTAGCGGAAGAAACCATTTAAATCATCATGTTCAAAAACAAAGCCGTGAAAATTCAGTTTAAGCATTTAGCAAAGCATAGCAAAGAACAATATTCGGGCTTGTGTTTCCTGTTTATAGGCAACTCAACTTTCCTTTAAAGACTCTTTTCACTTTGCTTGCTTCAACAGTACCGAAAGATTAAAATGTATTTCAGGTATAACACGCCATTGTTTAAAGAACAAAGAAATGCACGATTTAAAAGCAATGTAGGGTGGAGCAGTAAGCTTGTACATTACTTTGCACAGCAACAGGTTTACACCATCAAGCATGGTCAACGCAATGAAGCACGAAAAACATCAAATCACATACATGCATTATTGCTTACTAGTTGGCAATAACTTCCTTTATTATTGTCTGATTTAAAATGCCATAGATCATTCCATATTTTTAATTTAGATAGTGGTTTTTAAATAATATGTACTATAATTCTATATGATTACGGTATGTCTGCATCGATTAACTGAAGTGCACATTTTATTTGTACTTCATCCTTCAAAGTGAAGATAAAATAAAACAAAATCTTTGTGTCGCATTCCACTATGCACTGTGAAAATCTTGACATAACGCAACTTTGATCCAATCCTCCTTATACATCATAACAATGTTGTTTGATTTATTATGTACAATTAGGTTAGGCTCTAGTTTTACATGTTTAAGCAATTGGGTGTGTGTTTTTTCACACTTCGCAAATCGAAACAGTGATCCATAAGGGACCTTTGTTCTTTAGTATTTGGAGTAACAGATATTGAAGTTCTCCCAATCAAGGGCCAATGTGTGCTATCCCAAAGATAAGATGGCAGCAAAGAATCAGATTTATGATTTTGCTTTTAAAAAATAATTAAGTTGGTGGCATATGAATATGGGGCCTGCTAAAGATAATATTTTTTGTTCCTTGGTTTAGAATTTACCTCCACTAGCCATCACAAGTGGCAGTGAACCTTCATTTACTAAATTGACTCCTACACAACTAATAACTCTGATCTTATTGTCAATTACTTTCTTGATGAGGGGTGGAACTTCCCCTTATTTTCTTAATGTTCTTACAAATTTTGGACATCAATGAATCGCTATTAGTAGAAGCACAACTTTCCTCTTTGGAGATGCAAATGCAATGGGTCCATTGTTTTGAAATTTGCAAGGAATGAGATTGGGCTAACTCAAAGCAAAATATTCTCATGGCTTCTGCAGAAAGCCATCCCTTTAGACATTTAATTTTTAATTTTGAGGTTATTTCATGGCTTCGTTGTTGTATAAAAATGACCTAGGAAGAATTGGGTTGATTGTATAAAAAATGATCTTAATTTAATAGAACTAAATGAAGATATGACACTAAATAGAACACAATGGAGAAAAAGGAATCATGTAGCCGACCCCACGTAGTGGGATTAAGGCTTCGTTGTCGTTGTTCTTGTTGAGGTTAGTTCATGGCTTCATCCTAGGGAATGAGATCATGAAGATGAGGGGCTTTCATTTAACACCAAGTTGCAAGCGCTGAAAAAACTTCATCACATGTATTTTTTTCTAATAAAGATTTTAATAGAAATTTTTACCGCTTTACAACAAAGCTTCTTCTAAATTTATGTTCCTTCCTCTACTAAGATGATCACCTATTTCAGCAAGAAAATATATGCTTAGAAAACTTTATGACTAGCCCATATTAGAGTGTTGACTCGAGCAATTATCTTTTCATTTGTTTGGTTGGCTAGGGACCATGCAAAATATAAGGGGCAAAAGTTTTCCCAAAAGTCTATTTTGACTGGGATATATAACAAAATCCTCATTCATAGATATGCTAAATTAAGCACCGACTGCGCACAAAGAGGACAAATGCTTTGTTCATACTTCACAAATTTCAAAAGAAAAGAAAAATACATTCATTGTGGTAAAATCTTTACATGGAGTAGAACTACACCTACTTCTTTTTTAAACTGAATATTGATGGTTGCTTTAAGATGACTTCTATGAAATATACACTTCAAAAGGCCATTTGCAATCATGTTGACACAGGTCAAGCACACACACTCCACCAAAGCACTCTAACACGTGTCTAATATGTTGAATTGGGTCTAATATTTCTATTGCAAAATTAAAGTCAAACATGGCGAGGATGTAGTCTAACGATCATAAAACATGATGATCATGACAGTTGTTTTTCCTCAATAAGTTAGCTTTATAAATAGTGTTTATGGTTAAGCCGTGTTCTACCACGATCCAGACACATGATGAACATAACCTGTGTTTTTTCCAATAAAATAGCTTTGTAAAGTGTGTTTTTTCTCAATGATGTAAATGATTCTATTGAACAGGACATTGGTGTTAATGGATAATGATCAGGGTAGCGCACAGTTGTTTGGTTCAATTAGCGATATAACAATAGTACATATTTCGCGTGGTTATTTAGGAGAATAAAAGACTTTTTTAGTTAGTAAGCAATTCAATGTTGATATTAATAAAATAATATTAAATTCTTAATGCTAGAGCTAGTTTATTGTTTAAATACTCTTGACGACATATTTAAATATGTTTTTAATTAAATTAATGTTAATTTTTTTAATTTTTTATCGTTAAATAAGATATTATTTTTCATTTCTTGATGTTATTTAATTTGAAAATATTGACATTTGGTATTTTAATAATTTATAAAAAAATATCATGTCAGTAACACTAATTTTTTTGCGTCCCCATGTCCGTGTCATGCTGTCTCATGATGTGTCAAGCTTTATATTATGGGATTCAAGGGAGAGTAAGCAAATGGTAGCCTTATGAGAAACCATTTGATAAATGAATGTTAACCAGCATAGCTTATTGCTAAACACACAGAGGGAATATTTTTTAAAGCTAATTTATTGCAGGTGGTTATCAAGCTTGATGCTAATTTACTTATAGAATTTATGTTCCTTTGCATTGGAAAATCTTCTGTTCGGACAGAAAATCCATTTTCTCCTAGAAAGATTTAAAATTAAACCATGATTACATAGAGGCGAAACAAGCTGCAAGCCGGTTGGCGCAGTTTGGTTTAATTACAAGGAACAAAGCTGATGACCTCCTGATGGGGATTACTTTATTAGACAAAAGAAGTTTTCCTTTAAAATTAAAAGTTTAATACAAATTTCACATATTTATTGGTGTTTATTGGTGCTTTTTCTTTTTGTTTGTGGTCTCCTGTGGAAGAGTTTGAGGATTTCAATGCTGATTTCATGGCCTGGATTATGATAGAAACCTAATTTTACAACCTATGTTTAACGGTTATGATTGATTGATTTCTTAGTACTTATCTGCAGTATTGTTTGGTTTTTTTTCTTTGCAATTATGTATCACTTTGGCGCTGTTTGGTGTATCGTTCAACTGATCTTAAAGTTATCTTGGCCATCAAATCGCTTGTTTCACAGTATTTGGATGCTGCTGGTTGAGTTTTTATTATGGCTTGGCCTTGTTTTAACCTGTCCAGCTACTAGTAGAATCTTTTCATTTACGTCGCTTTTTTTTTTTCCATTTCATTTCCCTAGCATTTGAAGCTTCTCTGAACGGTGATGATTTACATATATCCGATATCCTATCTTACTAATTTAGGTTTACTGTAATTTCATTATGTTTGCATTGATATTCTTTCATCCTTGCACACAGCACTGTTGTATTTTGATATTAATTGGCTGGTTGGTTTGGATATTAGAGTATTCCATACTTGGGGAAGTCCATATTTCACTACTTGGCTTCATTTTTTTTCACTGGATTGTGCTCTCAATTACATCGCCATGGCAGATTTAAATCTTTTCTTATTGGTTGCGACTATTACACGTCCATATTGTTGGTTATATCAATTGCCATTAGCGCATTGTGTTAGTCATAAATTTTATTTTGCCTTGCATCTGCTTTCCAGTTTTTTTGTCTTGGTGGGCTAGCAGTCCCAGGATAAGCCCCCATTGCTCTTGAAATTTGATCTTCTCTTGCCAAGTACCTCATTCCAGCTAATGTTGCCCTAATTTAATTTCTGTCTTGCTCCCATGTGACCATGTCAGGTACTTGATCATTGATCCTTCTGTCTAGTATTGGCTTTGTTCGGCGTGTCAAACTAATTTTGTTCCAATCAAGTTAGCCATCATAGGCTTCGAGAAAGTAATGAGAATAGCACAGATAGAAAATAAAGTAGAGAAGAAAAAGAATCTCACTCCATTGGACTTCAATATTAAATTAAAACGCAATGTTATATGTAAGACTTTATTTTTGTTATATGTAAGACTTTATTTTTGTTTTAAAAGACAACAAAGAGCGAAACGGTATTTTATTAACTAAGCGCTAATAAGATATAAAACTACTAATGTATAGATGTCTTCATTAACATTTATAAAATATAAATGATGACTTATAAGTTGATATAAAATAGAAAAGAGTGTGGTGCAATACCTACTCGAAGGTACAGATTGGGTTGAACCTATAAATTAAAATTTCAAACAATTTCTAATAATTTGCTACAATAATTAAAAACTTAAAAATTGCAAAAAGAAATCTTATAACATAAAATAAAATATAAATTTTAAAGCATAAATAAACTAATTGTAAATCCAAAAATGATCTGCACGAATCTCAAGACAGTTTAACGATCAAGATCACATACGAAAAAGTTACAAGGCATCATGAATCCGACCAGCTAAAGACCACAAGCATACCGGAAGCTACCGACCAACCTAAGGTCAGACCACCAAAGGGGCATCTATGTCGATTAGAGATATGCATCCACACTAGCAACCAACCAAAGTTTAGTACCCCCAACAATCTCACAACTATCAACATGACACTCTCTCAACAAATCCCCCAAAGATCTCTAAAAATCACCAAGGAACAACAATCAAGCTAGTCGATGGATT